CCATAAAAAGATTGCACTTAAGAGTTTAACATTTTAAAAGAAAAGAGAGAAGGCAGTGACAATTTTCCATCGACATTGAGACAAAAATAAAAGAGGAAAAAAAAGTAAAGAACACAGATGCAGAATTGTCCAGGGAGTGGAGCCCTGTAACATGTTCAGAATATGAAGCAGCCCGTGGGCTTCTGCTGGCCAAAAACATCGCCATTTGATTTCAGTGTCAAATACCCAAAGAGCAACATACACAGAGCTACATGATGAAGTCAACAATAACCTTTTTTTACTTCTTTTTTTGGCTTCGAAAGGTTTTTTGATTCTAAAGTTGATGGAGGTCATCATATTTCTACACAGTTGTAGCATGGGATGGCCGGGAAGGAACATGCAGAGATCGACTTTCCATTGTTACATATGTAACTTCTTTATGATTATGTGACAAGTGTAAGTTGGTGAAATAAATCTTATCTGATTTCATTTATATGTTCTGAGCTGTCCTGTTTACATTTCGCTATTTTACAACTTGCTAAAAAGAACAGCTTTGAAATTGACATTAGCATTCAGGTGAGTCAGTTGGTAGACATGCCCTGAATAAATCTGTTTAGTCAACTTTACTCGGCAGCTCTATTTATTTACCTTTATTAGAGTGTTTTATATATAACAATTATCCTCTTCTACTGACCCTCTACCCCTTCAAGCAATAAAACCAACCAAAGCCTCATCATAATGACATGCTTTTAAATTGACAAACACTACATCCTGACAAATATTGACACACAAAGCACTTCTGTCCCTTAACCTTCCTCCTCAGTTCTTGTCTTCTGTGCTGTAGTGGTAACTACAGTTTTTATGAAATCTGACAAATCAGTAGCAGTTGAACTGTTAGGAGTTTAATTCCACAGCTGGTAAAAACGTGTTCAGCTCCAGCTGACCGAGCCCGAGACAAAATGATTTAGTATGACTAAATGTGATATTCCAGAAACAAGAGTTTTCATTACAACCACATCAACACCATACACAGATAATTCACTGGTTGATTACGCTTGTGGGCGCACGTTCCTCTGAGAATTGGATTAAATTAAATCATCCATTTAACTGAGCACTAATATTTTAAATTGATCACATATGATAATGAAGTATCGCAGGTAAAGAGTGGGACACAGGGATTAGCTAAGGAGCTAAGTGGGGCCTTCAGGGTCCCTCCAGTATTTCCTCTCTGCTGCATCGCTCACATTCCGTCCAACACCAAGACAATCTACATTTCAAGAAAATGTACTTTGATCTAACAGTGGAGAAAATGGTTGGTAATGGCATTCCACTTGCAGAGGATTAAAGGCATCCTCCCACTGCCATCATGGTTCATTTGAAATCAATTAGTTATTTGTACTGACTGGCCACTCTTGCTGTAGTGCAGCAAATCATTAGCTTGCTAACTCCCCCCACAATGCCTTTATTAGTAGAGTCTTTTCTCTTTAAAATGTAAGTTTAGAAAAATATTGAGGCAGATTGACTTTTTCTGTCGGTCGATAATGAAACCGAGGACTGAAAAGGGACAGGTGTATAAATGAAATTAGTTAGGGTCTCTGCAATAGAAAAACAAAAGAAGGAGGCATGGACACACACTTGTAAACGCACACTTGTAAACACACACACACAAACACACACCACAGCTGGAGGGGTGCTCGTAGCGATGCACTGGGTCCTGGTTGTTATTCCAACAGAGCTGGGTCTCCAGTAGCATCACTAACATACTGGAGACACATGCACTGTAGAATACAGCCAAGCCATGAGAAAACACCCCCCATACACACACACACACACACACACACACACACACACACACACACACACAGACTCACACGTGCACAATGTGCCACTCATCTTGAAGGACCATATGAATCTTGATACATGGTTAACCGACCTTGATATGTGTGTGTGTGTGTGTGTGTGTGTGTGTGTGCGTGTGTGCATGTGTGTGTAAAAGGGAGGGGATTTTTCAATAGTTCTATTGATATTCATATTCACTGACACCAGCCAACAAAGCGTAATTCATAAATATTTCTTCAGTGGGACTCCTGGGGACTTTATGATAGACAGGAAGCGTTAGAAACTAAAATACAGACTTGAAAGAACATGAAGAAAAACCAGCAACCCGTAGACAAAACGGGGGGAGTCAGACAAAGACAGAAAACTGCCCGCTGATGAAATTCACACATTGCTCACAGGAGCGACAGAAGTTGCTGAATTACAGAAAAAGCTGGAGAGTCTGTCAGTGTGAGTCCGCTCTTTTCTCAATGGATTCTGTGCTTTTACATATATCAAAACCACTATAAAACATATTCTTATCCCTCTACTCTACGAAGTGAACTCATGACCACATTTCAACATGAGCCCATCTACAAAGAACAAAAAACAAAAAAATAAAACAATTTGACTCAACTGGAAATCACTGGAAAAGACATATAAAGGTAGACAATTTGTTCTGCCAATTCTCATCTCGGTGAGACTAAAGCTGGTTTAGCTTCCTCAGGGGCAACAGCAGACAGCTGTTCTCATCAGTTCTCATCAATATTGCATTTTAATTAAGAAAAGAAAGAGAGAGGCAAATTAAAAAATGTAGCAATAAAGAGCGGTGGGTTTATGAGATCACTTGCAAAATCTAACAATAATTGTACTATACATCAAATAATTCACTTTTCAGACTTGTATACTGAAACTGTCAGGGGTAAATTTTCTTAATGTACCTATTATCCTATTTAGCATACCTCTAAATATGTGTGGAGCTCCTGAATGTAGACTGGTGGAAGAACATTACTTAGGATTTATTTTCATATTCCATTTTTTAAAGATGTTATTATGTTTAGACACAAAAATATACTAAACCAGACTTTGCTTGGTTTAATGAATCATTCTGGCTTAAGTTCATACTGAACTACCTACAAATGACAACTCTGATAACTCCTGTTAAAATCAGACTTTGAGAGTTTCTTAAAATGGGTCTAGGTGTGGAAGATGAGACAGAATCAAGCTGTCTAAACACAGAATTCATACTAAATAAGTATGAGCGCTTATGAAAATCATAACATCACTAAATAATTTATTCAAAGTTACAATTATTCATGATATTCACTTCAAATTGAAATGGTTACCTTCTGTGTTACATTCTTGTTGGAGGTTTTAAAATATTTTGTGTTATGTTTTTTTCAACCAAAAAACAGGATAGTTAGATCTCTGATTTATCTGTATAGAGGACAAACCCACTGGACTGCACCCCTGATGTGTGAAGGAACTGATGTCTGAGGATTTCAATATGTTTTATATACACAAGTGTTCCACACTACACTCTACTAAAGACTAAAAAAACTAAATTCATATGTCAGAATTCTGACAATGTGTTTATCCTATGTGAGACATGCTCGCCGCATGGGTGTATGAAGCATGATGCTATCAGCATGGATGGCGGTGTTCACCAGAAACTGGAAATGACAAGATGAAGCTTCCTGACAAATTAAGTCTGTAAACATGTCAGGAATGGTGAAGGAAGTGGACCAAATTGTGAGGCAGAGAGGAGAGCGAGGTGGAGCCCACACATGATCTTTAAGGCTTTTATCTGCACTCACTGAGGCACAAAACAAACAAGACTCGCAAGACAAATGGGCAACGGGAGAGGAAGACAAATGTCTGACAAAGACCAATTAAAAACCAGGAGTATACACACAGATGGAGTAAATGACGCCACTGAAAACACAAGAGAATAATCAGTAAGAGGCCAGGTGTGACACAATAAAGGGAGGTAGTGTACAGAAACAACCAAAGAGCACAATACACCCAAATGAAACAGGAAACAGGCCTAACACAGAACAAAACACTAAAGACATGGACTGTGTACATAGGTATAAAATTGTGCTACATTTGACAAATATTTGCAATTGCTATGCAAACCATTACATTAAACATTGCTTTTTATTTTAGGTGTTAGTTTAAAACACATTTCCAAAAAAAAGGTTTGTTTTATGTTTCAATAATTATCTTGGTTTTACAAGCTTATCCATTATCACAGTAAAAAACAAAAAGCAAAACATTGCTGTTAAACAGTATGAAATGCACTATAGGCCGCATCTGGTTTTACTACATGAGGTCATCAAAGCAGGGTTTTTATTTGATTTTTTTTTGCATGTGGTTCAGCTTCACAAATGACAGCATTGTGATGCCATTCTGTTTAGAAATTAGTCATTTGTATGAAAGGTATTGCAATTTTACCTGGTAAGTATCCATCTTAATCCATTCTTATTAACTGAATTTGCCTGATTATACATTTTTTACATTCTTGTTGATGAGAAATGAATAACTGTGCTGTCAGCTTGTTGTGTGAGCAGCTGCTTCTGTGTGAGCGAGTGAATGAGTTCCACTGCTGTGTGTTTAAATCTCCTTTTGTTTCAGGCAGCTGAGCAGCTGAGCAGCATCGCGCTCCTGCTGTGAGTCTTCCCCGTCATCGCCTTTGGAGGTATTGTTGTCTGTGGTTACTGAGGCGCCACTAATGTTCCTCCTTGGGTGTCACTGCCGCACTTTCACTGATGAACACTGGCCAAGCTGGTGATGATGATGATTATGACCTTTAACGAATTACAACTATTGACACTCTTTTATACCCTATGGTCCTTGGAATGCTTGAGTTGGTTACGTCCCCGTCTGCATTTGGATGTGGCAGTGTAGTTTTTCCCGGCCACAGCTTTGTGTTCGTGTCTGGCGCAGACGCAGAGTTGATTTCGCAAAATGCTAACTACCTTGTCTAATTTGAATGGCTCCGATTGTTATCAGTTATCACTGACAGACATAGTCTCCTCTCAAATGTCAACAACTGCCAATCAGGGATTTTTAAATATCACGGCCGCTATAAACTACCAGTGCACATGCGGCAGGGACAATAATACTTTCTCTCATTCCAAAAAGGAGTGAGGAGGAAAAAGGAACATTAATGGGAAAGCATGAGCCAAATACATCTGACTCACGCAAACTGAGACAAGTGAAGCCGTATTAATGATCACCATTCTTTGGACACCCCTACTTTTACAATTGCTCCCACTCTTTTACTCAACTGCGTCTGATTCACAAGCCCTGTCTTTGTCACTCTGTTCTATCTAACGTTTTGCATTTTCTCACTATTCATAATCATGCCCTCCCCTATTTTCCCTCTGCCTTTGTTACCTGCCTACGTCTCCATTTTCCCCTTACATCCAATCATGACTCTCTGTCGGCCTCCGGTTCTTTCTCTCTTTCTGGCGCAGGTGTTTGACAGTCACACTGTTGTCACATGGCTCTAGTTCTATTTTAATCTGACTCCTCTGTTCATGAAAAGACACCCCCAAATCTCTCACCATCATCTATGCTCCAAGTAATTCTTTATTCACCCTTGGGCCTCTATGGTCTGTCAATCTGTCTGTGCTTGTTTGTTTGTGGCAACTAAAGAACAATGGCCAGACCTTTTGATGCAAACTCAGATAATATGAGTGTTGCTACTGTATAGGACAGAGTCACACAAAATTACCTTTAATGTTGTTGCTGTGTAGCACCTTTGGGACTTGAAGTGTCTTGCTGTTGCAATCTATGACTTTAGTTCCAAACAAATTCATCTGAAAGAATTAAATTTGGAGGTAAACTGCTTATAGTTGCCGTTATCATTTTCTATTAGACATTTTAAATTTAAGACATGTGTTGACTTGAACTTTTATCCAATATCATGACCTTTTGATATTTCTAAGGTGATTTTGTGCTGGCTGCAGGAACCGGTAGTGTTGCTGTGCCGAAAAATCACTGTGTGAGTCGTAGAATGAGTCTGTCTTATGTCACATTTTTCAGCAAGAGGGGCCAGGACTTCAAAGCGTTTCGAAGACACCCAGGGGGTTTGCTTGGCAACAAGTAAATTGGTCTCATTTGAGGTGGCCTTTAACTGTGAAGTGGCATGACAATAGTTAGACAGATGTAATTAGGAACAAAAAAAACAACCTAGTGAGTAACAAATATCAAAGGCTTTTACGATGGTAACACATAACTGAAAGAGTATATTGTGCACACACAAGTTAAGGACATTTATGATGTCGTATATTTTAAAAAGGGTTACAAAGTCTTCATCTTTCAAGTTTGTGCATCCAAAAGGAAGCCACTGTTTTTTTATGGCGCATTAGCATACTCACATTAACTTGCCAGCAATAATTGCAGTTCTCTGTGCCACAAAGAAATCTGGAGACGGATCAACATCATCACACTTCTGCTGAATTGAACACTGCTGTAATTACTGCCCTCTTTTTCAAGCAGGCCAGTAATTTTCAGCAAAATCTCAACTCACCGCCAGCAGATCACTGACACAAGCACTGTCAGCCTCCGTGTCATGCTTTAGCGACTAACAGGTCTAAGAACTCCTCTTGAGGAATGTCAAAATGGCAGTGTCATATGATAGAGGATTTATTGGCTTTATTTGGAACCTTTAACTTTTTAAGATTTACCAAAAGGTTTTAAGCAAGAAAGGACCAAAAAAGGAAACTATGACAATGGCTTTTCCTGCTTGAAATTGCAATTATTTCCATTTTAAATGCTTCACTGATCTGACACTATTAATCGTTAACTCTTTAGTAATATAGTTTATCTCAGCATATGGAAAAAATCTGTGTTCAAATCATTTCCCACAACTACTTAACAACCGAGGTCCTCCTGTAATGTAAATCTCTCCACCATTTAAATAAAACATCTCTATGAAAACAGGGTTAATCCCCTGGTACTGAAGGACTTTCGGTCTAATTTTACCCACACTTCTGGGATATCATAGAGGCACAGCTTTCATGTATGTATAATAAATGCATCAACCTTGTGGAAATGATTTCTACAATGAAACAGGGTGTTATTTATCATATTCCCAAACCAAAATAAATCCCACATTTCACTGAAAAATGGTAACCTACTACTCCTTTGACTATTGATTATAAATAGCAGCCTTAGTTTATGCAAACAGGCTTAGAAAAATATAAAATCAGATTTTATCAGAAACAGACTGGCCTTATGAAAAATAGACATAGTAACTGTAATAAGACCTCTGTGCTTATGCTGACAAGATGAAACCAGAAGCCTTACTTCTTAAATGGATCAGGTCTATTGTTGAATACTTTCACTACACAACTGCTCAGACCCTTATCTGGATAATATCCCTCTTAAGGACTCTGCAAAATACCTGGTATTCATAAACAAAAACATTTTTTGCAAAGTAAAACTCTTAAAATTATTACACAAGTCCGTCAATTCTGGAAAAGTACAAAGACCTTTTTCCTGAAAGATTTTTCAATTCATAGATATAACTGTCAACTCTCCTCCGATTAAAAAATAACTAATTCATTTCATTACTTGTAGTATGTTCATTTACCTACCGTCACGCTTTCTCTACAATGCACCAATATACCCCATATCCTGTCTCATTACTACTATTGTCTGTCTTAAAATGACATAAGCTCAAAAAGCTCTCCTTCCTGGGACAAGAAAAAGGAAATTAGCAATAACCACACACCTATTGGATCACACACGCAGGTTCCCGTTTCAAAGATTTGTTATTTGAACCATGGAGTCTTCCATCCGACTCCAGGCTTCTGTTCAGCACATCAGGGTGAATAGCTGTGAGCTCGTCTGTGTGAGCCCCAACTTCAAAGTGTACACCTGGGGCTGCCGCAGCACATGAATGTGCTCATGAAAATGAAAATGTATTAAACTGAATTATAAACATGGCGTGATTAGTTCACCCAATTCACACACGCGCCAAAACACAAAAATATGCACAGGTGCGAGCTAGCTAATCCGATTTTGATTACTGAAAACAAACACAAAAATGTACACTTTAAGATTCAAAATGCACACCCTGTATGCAAATATAAACTTCTTGCACGTTCTGCTATCTTGTACCCTCAGACTCTGTGTGTGTTACTGTATGTATGTCAGAGTGTCTGCACGTGTGCTATCCCATTGTTTAGAGGTAGAATAAATTTCCTGTCGAAAATTCCAGGATGGGCTCCACTCCGGGAGCTTCCCTGTTTATCTGCATGTGCTTGTGTGTTTGCGTGTATTACCAAGCACGTGCAAAAAACACACACACACAAACAGTTACACTGGGCAGTACAATGCTTGTGTGCCCAAGTCTCCTTGACATTTCTCTCACTTCTCCTCTTCCTCCCTCCCCCCCTCACCCCCTGTTCCTTCCATACCTTCCCCTCAATCGTTCCTTTTACTGGGTCAAGCCTTTAACACACTTCTCCCCGTTCCCATGACCTCTTTTCCTTCCCTGTGTCTATCATAAAAAAAGCCACCTTGACCTATAGCGCATGGTCCTAATGGGAAGTGCCTCAAATTCTGAGTTCATGCTCCTGTAGTTTCATAAGTTTTCCACTGAATGTGAAAAAACAAGATACACCTTGATGCAGTTCCATCTAAAATACATTAAACTATACTTTTAAGATTAATGTTTAACTTGTGGGAGGAATTGTATTCCTATTGTATTAGCAATTGCATATTTACCGCTTCCACGTTTTCTCTAAATAGTTTAAAATGAGTGTGTAAGGGTTACAAGGGGCTACATCCATGGCTGAGAGGTGATGGACTCGTGGTGAGTGGGGGTGTGATTGTCTCTAAAGTGAAAATGAGTACGTAGTAGTTCTGAGGGCACACGCCATGTGTCATCATTTTTCACGGGGCAAAAATACCAACCAAGCAGCCAGTTAATCTAAACCCCTCACTTTTTAGGGTTGGAAAAGATCCAAAGACTAAATTTCTATGTCAGTGCAGCTGCTGTTATCGGGGATTTATTGTTGGAGGCTGTAAACTGCAATATCATCGCTTGGAGTGTGGCAACTTATTAAAATCATTGCGATTCTCTCCTGGTGTGAGATTATCAGTGCCGACAGGAGGGAAATGAATCATCTTTTATCTTCAATATTTTTTGATATGTGTAACGTTGATCTACTTTGCTCTCTTTTTTCATTCATCACTAAAATATTCTTTAAATAAAATCTGTTATATTATCAGCGTTATGAAAAGCAGCAGACATTCTGGGGGGCTAACAAGCGTGTTGACAGACTAACTGAAACCTCCAGAGGCTATGAAGGACTTTAGCGTCACTTCATTTACCGTTTACTCGGCTGAATGAACCTGCACCTCAAGCTAAAACAACTGATTACTCATTGGCACATTTCTTTATTTTTTTCTGGTTCCAGCTGATCACCGGAAAAGATCTATCCTTTGCCTCCACTAATCTTTTTAGCCACTTTTTGCTTTAGAAATAAGTTTGGAACTCACAAACTCTAGACTCTAATGTCATGAGAAAAAAGTTGTTGGGATTTTCTCATGAGCCATCTGGACATGAATATATTAAATCATAATACCAACACACTAAACATTTATCTGCTATTTAGAACTGGGTGTCCTAGCAGATAAATGTTTGTAATTTATGTATATATTTAGTATCTTTAGGGGTGGCACAGTGTGGTGGTAAGCACCGTTGCCTCGCACCAAGAGGGCTCCTGGTTCAAATCCCAAAGGGGACCGGGACCTTTCTGTGAGGAATTTGCATGTTCTCCATGTGTCTGTCTTCTATCCTGGTATTCTGGTTTTGTCCCACCTTCCAAAAACATGCATGTTAGGTTAACTGGACACTGCAAATTGTCCCTGTGTGTGTGGTGCTTGTCTCCTGTCCAGGGTGTGACCCGCCTCTCGCCTGTTGTCCACTGGGATAGGCTCGGATAGACAGACGGATAGACAGTATATAAGAAAAAAAAAGTAATTTCTACCTCCTTACAGTACAGAGGGTCCATTACATTCCCTATTTTCGCACATTTATTTTCTAACTTTGAGAGATTTACTCAAAAGTTTAATACTTTAAAGGTTCTTTTTCGTTCACATTGGACACTTTCCTCCTTTTAGGTCTCAGAGAAAGTGTCCTTATACTTTATCTCTTAATGTTTTGGCTTGAGGATTGTTTGGCACAGGTGCAGGTTTCTCTGTGATGGGACACAGACTTTAC